TCGTAGCGGCAACAGCAACAAATGTCGTTGTTATTTTTTTCTTTCTTCTCTTCATTCCTTCTGTTCACTTGAGCTACATGAATGCTCTATGACGATTGACGATTTGCCTTTGTATTTGTGCGGAACTACTCTTGTTGCTCTCTCTCTGTGTTGTTACTCACAAGCCAGTTCATATTGCATGCAGCATTTGTAAATGAATGTAGTAACACTTTATGTTGAAAAAAATATGAAACAAAATGAAATGATACATACAACAGAGAACATACAACGAACTCTCCATTTCTCACTCTATGTATCTCTCACTCTCTCTCTCTCTCCCTCGCTATGTACCTTACTCAACCAGAATTATTCATATGGATGGATAATGTGACGCAGCGCGTAATAAAAAATGATATAATCTGTCGTCTCGGATACCGAAACACACTTCACTTCGTCCCACAAAACGATTACGTTTTTTTGTCCGTTCGTTGATATATATTAAAAACTAAATGCGTTACTATTGGATAAAAGTCGGTCGGTATCGCACCGACACACACACACACACACACAGAGAGAGAGAGAGAGAGAGAGAGAGAGAGAGAGAGAGAGAGAGCGAGGGAGGCAATGACGATTTTCAATCGATCATTGTCGTAGTCCATCAATCATTGTTCTCATCATTTACATCGGAAAGGTTATTCAATTTATATGAAGCCAACGGCGCGCACGGATTACATGGATATCAACACAAGCCAATTGAACAAAAAAAAAATACAAAATCAGAACGAGTGGCTTACACTCCTCGCGGGCCACTTGAATTATAATATCGCACAAAAATAAACACACTAGAGAGAACGAACGACAAAAAAACACACAACAACAACACAGCAAAGAATGGAATTCATTCATAAAATTGGTTGTAGCACACGCCACGCTACAGGATAAACGACATTCGCAAAGTGCACTTCTATTGCATGCATCCAATTATTCATCGTGTGACATTGGCTGTGCGACAAAAACAAACGTTGCTCTTGCCCCATTCACTCACATACACAGCACATTGTGCGACCAACTCACAAAATCGGACCAGAGGCGAATGCTGTTTTTTTTTCTGGTGACGACGATGACAACGACGACAATCCAAATTCATGTTATATCACACACAAACCCAACTATAAAACACTTACTAAACGTCATCGATATATGTGTGTTCCAACTTTACTCACGCCGATTTTTTATTTCTAAATTAAAATCAAATGAAGACAGACACAAACACTCAGAGATTCGTAGAATCAAGAGAAAAAAAATGTGATGTCTCGAAAAATCGAAGCACCGTCAAATATCACCGAGCCAATTGTGTGTGCGAGCAAAGAGCGATAAAATAGGCCCATTTCTATTTGCACATTGCACTTCTCTAAACAATAATATATTCAGCAAGAGCTTGGAGGTGTTAAATGAAATAAAATAAAATAAAATAATAGTAATCTTTCGATGTGTCTCTTGCTGTGTGTTTTTGTTTATTTGCTTGCTTGCTGCTGCTGCTGGCGCACACACATTTTGCAGATAAAACATTTTGCTCGGACTTTGAATGCCCGTGAATGGTTGTGTGATGACAATATTTCTTCTCATAATTTTTTTTTTTGACTACATTTTGTGCTATCTTTACTCTCGCATTCTATATACACACAGAGAGATAGCAAATTAACACTCACTTAATCTCGACGACTCCGTTTTCATTCTAACATTTTCGCAGTGTCTTTTTCTTCTCTCTCAGTTCTTGTTAATTTTTTTCTATTCACAATAATTTCGTTTTACAATTTTTTACAATAAAAATTTCCATCGATTTGTCTATTTGAGTCCCAGTCTCACGTTTACTTTTTTTGTAACACCACAATTTATGTAGAGGAAAGATTTTTTCTCTCTTCCTTTTTGTGAGAGATGGATTGAAGTGCACAACACGACAGCAACTCAATGAAAATAGAACTAAAGCTGAAAGATGATCGAACAAACACACATGCATGCACAACGTTTTGAATATATATGCTTCAGTGTTGCCAGTTTGGGCCTCGTTGGGCGATTGATTTTTTTTCTGTTCGATAAAAAAGGGAGAAATTAACCTTTAGACGTTAAAATTCACTGTTCAATCGATATTTCATTGTTTTTTCAATCTTTTTATGCACAAAACTCTAAAAATTTGATTAAAATGTGGTAGAAAAATGCGAAATTTTTATTGAATTAACGTCTTTCAATGGTTGTGTTTGTGTGCATTGAGTCGCTAGTAGCGACACAGTTGTGATGCTGTACGTCAAACGCGTTATATACTTTGCGAACCAAACTGTCATCCGCATTACGTATACACAGGAGCTGCGCTGTGTGTGTGTGTGTGTGTGTTGTATACACTCACTGCGACCAAACACATGTTTGGTATATCCAAATAAATACAATCACGCGTACAGCCGAGTCGAAAAGGGAGTCATTGTTGTGACATTGTGTTGTGTTCATTAAACTTTTTTCTCTCGTAGATTTTGGTTTTTCCAACAACGAAAATGAAACGTGCAGCAACTGAAAGTGCTTCAATTGAGGATAGCATTGGTGTAAATACAAAACAAGGTTAGTTTTGATTCACTTTTCGTTTTCAATTTGCATGTTTATCACCAAACATTGTTGTTTTGCAGTGAATTTAGTAGAGCGAAACCCAACACCAAATGGATATCAACTACTGAATCCGAATTATGTCGGCAAACACAATGCATTCGATTTGGTCGCACTAGCGAATGAAATACAAAATGCTGATCTAGCAGTAAATAATCAAAGCGGCAAATTGTCGCTTATTTTAGATCAAGTGAGTATAGACAACCAAGTTACGTGGAATAATGATGATTAAGAAATGAGATTATACCTACAATGTATTGCCCAAATTTAGCTCAATTTTAACGATTAATCATTACATTTTAACGATATCTTTAGATTCGTTTCCTACAATCACAAGCACATCAGATATTGCGCGATATCAAAACCGACATCAATCTACACCAAGCTGCATGTAATTTTAAAAAAGTTCCTGGTAAAATCTACTATTTATATCAACGTGAATCTGGACAGTGTTACTTCAGTATGCTGTCGCCACAGGTATTTATTTGACATTTTCGACACAAGCTTGAAATAGAATACGCCCACCTGAACACAATCGATAAATTACATTTTCTTCGTTCTATTTCCAGGAATGGGGCATGAGTTTATCGCACAAATTCTTGGGCGGCTATCGATTAGAAATGGATCAAACGTGGACGCCATTGGATCGAATCGGCGAAGTGGATGCAAAGAAACAGATAACCAAAAAGTTAATTCAATCGTCGAATATAGCTGAAAGTTTCCGTTCAATTGCATACTCAGACGAACCAATGAGCTCATAGCCTCGTGCAGGGCATTTTTAGAATAACTTTATAATATTTTCATGAGTCAATTTTTAAAAAATTTCAAAATAAATTTGAATTTTGTGAAAAGTTTACGTTTTATTTTCTAAATTTGAATAATAGCTCATGTAATAACATTTTATTGTTAATGGAAAAATAAATGTCTTTATGTTCGATCTCAACAGTATCGTGGGATTACGTCTGGTTCGGGTGCGATTTGGTTCATAATTGGCTGGTTTTGCTTGAATTGAGCACTACTTAAGAAGAAAACGGTGTGGTGCCAATAATTATAAAATTCATACAATAAAATATTAACAATTTGGAAAACAGAAAATATGTTATAATACATATGATGTATGTAATACAGGCTTAAAACAATTTGTGACAATTCTTCGGTGAAAGCTCTTTTACAAATTTCGGGTGACTTTTTTAAAAGCAAAAGAAAACTTGATCTGGTGATGAAAGTGAAAATAAAAATAAAAAATAAAGCAGAGATTGCGTTTGTGTGACTACAGTCATTTGGTTCGTTTGTTCAGCGATGTTTTTCGGGTAGGAGGTTGACGCTGTCGCGACAAGAAACTTTGACCACCAGCATTAATCAAGGCTAAACGTGCATCGACCACATCGCGTTGACATGAAACAGCCAAACTATAGGGAAAGAGGGTCGAAAATGCATTAGATACAAAGAGTTATTGCATCAAATTACGCTCAAATACCCAAATTAAGTGAATACCATTATGTCTACTCACTTATGGTATGCAGTTGCCATCAAACGCTCCTCGAGAGGACTCATCGTCGGTTGTGAATGTGATGAAGCAACAAGTAATTCATTCTCACTGTCCGGGTTTTTATCAGTCATTTGTGGTGAATCTAAAATGTAACATTAAAATCGTATACAAAATCCGTGTTTTGTATTATTTGGCTGAGTAACACCAACCCGAGATTAAACGTGGTTCATAGCATTTAATCACATCCTTGGCCTTCTCAACGCATTTTCGATATTTCGTTTCGAGTGTGATTATCTCTTGTTCGCGTGCATTCAGTGATGCTTCCAGTTGTGAGCATTTGCTCTGCAATCGTCCATTTTCACTTTGTAGACCTAAAATCAGTGGAATAAACACAGTTCGAATCCAAAGTTATTTCAACTTGAGTTGAGTTTGAGACTTATACCTTTTTGATCGTTGCTTTCAAGTGATTCCTTTTGCTGGGCGGCTTTCCCAGTATCACTTCCATCGGAACTATTTTGAGCCGATAGTGTGAGTATTTTCTGGTTGGCCGCTTTCAATTGCTCTCGAAGTTTCTCCGAACGCTGATTAGCATCCTCGAGCATTTGAGCGAGTGCCGTTTGGCCACCTTGTCCTTCACGCAATGCCTTATTCTCTTCTTCCAACAGACGAATTCTCTCCCGTTGCGCTGGCGAAGTCAATTCATTTGAAATCGCATTGCGATCACCATCGGTCGACATTCCTTGTGAACATCGCAATTGATCACATTGCTCCAACAGTGAATCACGTTCAATGGTCAAATTCTCGTACTCTCGTTGCAACGCAGTCAATTTTGCGTTTGAATTATTCAACTCAAACTCAATCTTAACACACTTATTGATCTCTGTATCGAGACGTGAGTGCAATTCTTGAATTTCCTTCTTGTACAGCTCAACTTGACCTTTGAGTGCCGATAACTTCTTCACATTTTCCTCTTTGTGCATTGTTTGCTGTGTAAGATCAGCATTGCGCTCTTCGAGTTGCTTTACTTGACGCTTTAAATCGGAATAGTCTTCGAGTTTTTTCTTGTATGTAGATATGAGCGCTTCACTCACTTTCAGCTTATCATTCGCCTCACGAAGGGCATCCAATTCATCTTTCAACTGTGATAATTCACTTTGAGCTTGCTGTAACGGAAAATTGATATTGCTTTTAGAAGAGTAGACCAAAGTTCAGTTTGAAAAAAAATTCAAGAATGATTTCGTCATTAATGAAGAAAATGTTCCCTTTTGTATTGAAAAAAATCCTTTCTTACGCTTGATTCATCCAATTTAAGTCTAACAACCACCAGCTCTTCCTCCAATTGAATCGATTTGATCTTAAAATCATCGCGTTGCGCCTCCGTTTGCAGTAAATCGTCCTTGAGTGCGTCGATCTGACGGCGCAAATCGTTGTGTCGATTCGATCCGGGCAACATTGGCCCAAGTGATGCACCATCATCACCGATTAAAGCACCTTTTGGATTTTCGTACACATCAACTTCGCGTTGCAGTTTATTCAATTCTTGTTGCATTTGCAACTTTTCCTCCAATAGGAGTGCGATTTGTCTTTCGGCTTCGTGACACTTCTGTGCCAATCGATCACGGTCTTCTTGAATGGATTTGGTATCAAAATTGCTAATCGAAGAGGCTTTTGATGCCATTGCACCTTGATATGATGATTCCAATTCTTGGATTGCTTGCATTATATTGCGCTGCAGTGACTCTTCCAACTCCATGATTTGACGGATATGATCCAATTTCGAAGAACAGTTAATTGCACATCCTTTGGGTGGAAAAAGGGAACTTAGAGTAAATATTCAATGGATTTCTCTTTTTTTTCTTTGTTTCGGTTCCATCTTTGTTTCCGTTTCTTTTCTACTTTTTTGTCATTAACTTACCCAAAATCAATTGTAAAAATCGTCCCAGTTCACATTTATCGCCTTTTTCGCCGATTTTCACCACATTTGGACAAATGAACTCGTTCAGTGTAATGTTTAATACGTCACTGTAATAATCGGTGACGGTTTCGATGAGTTTTTTCAAATTGCTCACTGTAAACAAAACGAAAAGTTCACATTTTCAGAATTCCATCCAATTTTTATCAAAAAAATAATCGATTGCATTACCTTTGATGCGCCAATTATCGCCCACATTAACTTTAAACTTGGAAAACCATGTATCTGTAAGAAACGACGAGTCAGATTTCACTTTCACACCAATTAAGGTCGATACTGAATGCATTGTTGCTGCATTATTTTACCTGTAAAATAATCGGGTGCCAATTTTTCCAATGCAATCGCCATTGCTGCTCCATCAGTCAAATCGTTCAAATAGTTTTTCTCGTGTTGATCTTGTGAAATGCAATTTTCATTATAGAAAACCAAAAACCAATCGGTCAGACTTTTACACATCTCTTCACGGCTCGTTTCCATGTTTGTGAATGTTTTGGTTTTCGTAAAATCACTTTAACAAATTACACCAACCGAAACAAAACTAAAAACGTTCTTTCTCTATCGACAATTGTTTGTTGACTATTTTCGCATTCTAATTCGTGGAATTGTTGAAGTAGTCATGGACAAAACAGGCAGGAAAATTTATCTATTTAATTTATTTTATGCAAGATACTTTGACATTGTTTTATTATGACGACGATGACAACTACATGTATCGCAGACAACAAGAACTGTCAACAGCGGGCGAAAGTCGTGTGTATATGTGTTGTGTTGATAGAGTGAAGCGGAATGCAACATGTCACATGTTACAACGTCATGCGATAGGTCGTCCCAGTGCGATGCATGTGGCCAATTAGACACAGTCGAACCTAACGGTTTCGATGATATGATTCGAATATGTGGATGACCAATTGTATGGCCAATGCATTTGTTGCAACGGAAAATGCATAAACCATGTATTAACACACATTTACCCGTTCACTTGTCGTGACATTGTTTTCGCTTTCCACCACTAACATTATATGCATACATTGGTTTAGTATTTAAACGTTGGTCCAATTAAACGCTCTAAGCTAATAAATTGTCATCGCGCATTTTCAAGTACAAGACCCATAACGATTTTAAATTTTTGTTCGCGGTTTCAATTAAATTCCACCAATTAAATTGTATTTTCTACGATTTTTTTTTAAGTGGAAAACATTTTCACACGGGATTTTTTTTTCATCCCTCATCGAACATGTACTATTTTAATGTGATTTTGCATTGCGGCTGCTGCTACTGCTGCTGATATCGACTGTCATCTAATTTAATTAGTGCATTAGAGAGAAAAGCCATTGCATTGATATAAACAAAAAAAGGGGTCATGAGTTCGATATTATACAATGTTTCTCCACTCAATTTGAACAATTTTATTACATCTAATGAAAAGTAAAGTCTTCGACCTGCCAGATATATTTTATGTGCATTCATTATTATTAATGAGACCCGTAAAAGTGCGAATGTGGAAATAAAATCGGTTTTTGTCTCTCACTCTCTGGCTGGCTCGCTCACTCGCTTGCCCGCTCGTTACTCCAAGTAAATAATGTGAAAAGTTGTTAGTTTCACTGGAGTATGGATGTTTCTATAGTTTTGCTCCACCAGTTTGCTGAAGATTAAGCAAGAACAAAAGGGAAATTTATGAAATTTAAATAAAGTGGAAAATTCGTGCGTAAGCAAACGATAACATTGGCAGTGATCATATCCAGAGCAGAAAAAACAAACGGTTTATTATTTATATGATGAGTTTAAGAAATCCACTACATGAATTGTACATACTTGTGATACTATTCCTTTGTTTCGTACAAATGAGCACATGCATTGTAGACGCATCATACCATTTAACGTAAGATCGATGGATTGACCGTGTATTGAATTGATCATTGACCAAAATTACTTCCGCAGAAATAGCACCTATGACGAAGAAATGCATTCAACATTGTTATTGTCGGATATTATGCCGAAGAAACAACGTTCATATGATAAGAATCGTGCACCGAAATTTATCGGCCAACCGACTGTCGTGTATTTTCATGTAACCGTACTCAGTCTCGATTCGGTGAACGAAGAGTCGATGACATATGTGACGGACATTTTTTTGGCGCAAAGGTAAAATGAAAAACAAATTTCGATGAACATCCAATTTTAAACCATTTTGAATAAATAATTTTCCCACTAATTTGCTGTTAAACATGGCCCAAAGTTGGCGAGATCCCCGGCTTCGTTTACCATCCAACATGAATGAAGAGTATCGGATACTGGATGTCGAGTGGCTGCACGACATTTGGCGGCCGGATTCATTTTTCAAAAATGCGAAAAAAGTTACGTTCCACGAAATGAGCATTCCAAATCACTATCTATGGCTGTATCGCGATAAAAGTCTACTCTATATGGCTAAGTATGAAGCAAATTCTCCGTTTTTATCACTATATTTCAACCAATCATATCGTATAAAATATATGTGTCGCTTTGTTGTTATTCTTTTTTTTATGCACAGATTGACGTTAGTTTTATCGTGCGCAATGAAATTCGAATCATATCCCCATGATACACAGATTTGTTCAATGTTAATAGAAAGCCGTAAGTCCACACATCTATCTCAATTATTAGAGAACTTTAGGCGAAATTCACTTGCTCGATTATATATGTGCACAATTTGTGTTTTTGCTCATTTCGACGTATCGATTGCAGTTTCGCATACGGATCAGGACTTGGTGTTCATATGGAATATGACGGATCCACTGGTCGTTAATGATGATATTGAATTACCGCAACAGGACATTTCAAAAATTTATACCACCGATTGTACAATACCCTATAGGTAAAATGGATTCGGTGCCGCTGTTTTGGGAAAATGAACTTGCAAAAAATCGGAATGGTTCATTGAGATCAAGAAAAATCTTCTGAAGATCAATGAAAAATGTTACAAACTAAGAATCTAAGTCACTTAGACTGCGATTCTAAAATCTTTTGAAAAGATTTTTTTTTTGGCTTATTTTCCATAAAACCGTGATTTTTCTATTCAAAGAATCGTTGCGATTTCTGATCGCGGACACTGTTTGAAAAAACGATTCAATCCATTGAATTGAAAAGAGGCATATTTCATGTTTTTGCAAGGCCATTTTCGCAATCGAACCTACCCATTTTCTGATTCAAACCGATTTTGAGTGTATGTTTTTAGTACGGGCAATTTTACGTGTTTGGCCGTGGTGTTTGAGTTGCGACGTCGTCTGGGCTACCATTTATTTCACACGTACATACCATCCGCATTGATTGTGGTCATGTCTTGGATATCTTTTTGGATAAAACCCGAAGCGATTCCAGCTCGTATCACGCTCGGCGTAACATCGCTATTGACTTTGGGTACGGTTAAACACGCGCGCCACCACTGATGATGATGGCGACGGGTGCATGTGTATATCCATGTTGTTGTTTAAATATTATTTCAAAAAAGGGTTTTTTTTTGTTGTTGCTGAAAACATTAAATTTTCTGTGTATCATTCTCTCTTACAAAGCCACACAAAATACACAGTCACAGCAATCGTTGCCGCCTGTATCGTATGTAAAAGCGGTAGATATTTGGATGTCGTCATGTTCAGTGTTCGTGTTTATGTCGCTGATGGAGTTTGCTGTGGTAAATGCACATATGGGACCGGTCGCAACGAAAATGATGAAAGGATTTTCGGATGAGAATTTAGTGCAAGATGCTCAAACAAACGGTCGAGGTTCAAAGGTATGCCGTACAGTGTAGACACACACACATATTTCACCTTTTATGCAAACGAGAACGTAGAGATTCTATACCATAGTTGAAGTAGTGTGTATATATGTTTGACATGTTGATATATTTACTTTATCATACACTTTCCAGCGAAAATCCATCGAGCATCGGCCGTCTGTATCATCGGCTCCACAATACGACACATTTTGCAATGGGCGAGAAACAGCGTTGTATATCGATAAATTTTCACGCTTTTTCTTCCCATTTTCATTTGTCATTTTGAACATTTTGTATTGGACCACATTTTTGTAGGAACTCTTTATATATATTCGACAGCATTCATATTTTTTGCTTGGTTGGAACTTTGTTCCAACGTACTTATGTTTTTTTTTGTATGTATCTGTGTATGTGTTGGCGTATCTCAGTGAAAATGAAATCATTGAAATTGAAAACGGAACTGAAACTGACAGAATAGAAGTGAAGGAAAAATCAAACAAGTCAAGTTCAATAATTTTAAGTAGTCATTTACATGTTTATTGTTATGTTTTCGATTGAATTTTATGTGTGTGTATTTTGTTTTCTTCATTCTTTTAGAAGCATCTCTTTACATTTTTTTTTATTATTGTGTTGTGCCTATTTCTTTTGGTTTGTTCTTTATTTTTCTCGCCCAGTTCGCAGCAACTTACAGTTTACAATTTGAATTCCAGTGCAATCAAAGGGCTAGAAACTGTACTTCCATTTAGATTTATACAGTATTTTATTGAAACATCAATCCATTATTTATACATAAACATAATAATAAATACGTTATTATATGCATCTGTTACATGTGTATATAATCGATATAATAATAATAATAATAATAATAAAAACTAAAACATACACGTTCAACATGTTTTTTCTTTCATTTTATGTTTTTTTGTTTCTCGGAAAATTGCACTAAAGAATCATCATTTTGGAATGTTAAAAATTCGGCAATATTGGGACTAGCATAGACTTTTCTTCTTTGGTAAAACAGCATTTCGCTCTTCCTCTCTCTCTCTCTCTTGCTCTATCGGTTTTTGTTTGGTTCAATATTTTGTGCGCCGAAATATCTATCCACTTGCACTACAACAATGGGCTCATATCATATTGTCACTGGTATACTTTTCCGCTATCTACATCCCAGCAGGACTTTATTCAAAGTGATTGAATTATCCTTCTTTTTTTGTAAAGCAAAGCTCAATTCAATATGCGTGCAGTTTGTATGGTTGATTGGGTGTGTGTTGCTATTGGTCTTTCTTTCTCTCGCCTGTTTTTTTTTCATCCTCTTTCATTTTACCAAGGTCGCCACATGCTGTCATCAATTGCATTATGATGCTCTGCATCGACGCGATGTTGATTCAGAAAATTTTGATTGTTTTGACTATACTCGTATAAATGGAAGCTGCTGTGAAAATTATAGCCAGGAAAAGCGGCCTGTTGTGCAGCAGCTGCTGCTGCCATTAATGATGCATGCGGATGAGGCATTAAATGATAGCCACTTGCATCTAAATCAAGTCGATGTTTGCCCGTTAAACTCACGCCAACACCACCACCACTGCCACCACTGCCACCACTGCCGCCGCCGCTACCGCCATTCATGTTGTCCACAACGATTTTCACTTTGTTGATTAGCTTATTATCCATGCCGAGCGCATATTTTGGTGACGGTAGAAGGTTTGGGTTCGGGCTAATTATTGATGTATCCACATCCACGTCCATTTGTTGTACACCGTTGCCCGGCTTAATTTTCAATACGCCACCATTTTGACCGGCCTTCAGACTGGAAAACGGAGAGGCTGACGTTGACGAAATCACCATGTTACCCGGCGATGATGATACAACCGCCGTATTTGCAATTGTTTTCGGTTCAAATTTAATCATCTTATTTGCTGTCGCTGTTGCGGCCGCTATGTCAGCGGTTGAATCGAGATTCTGTATCTGTTTGTTGCGTGCATTCATTTCGATTAAATTCTCAAAATCGGTCGGTGTTGGCTGTGGCTTAATTAGTGTTGTCGGCTCGGTTTTTATCGCAGAAGGCTTTAACGGGGAGCTACTATTCATTCTTGGGCTATCAATTGGTTCGAGTGGTAGTGATGACGAAGACGTTACCAGCTGATAATGGGGTGGTACACGAAATGGTGCCGAACTCGCATCAATCAACTTGATTTCACCGTATTCAAGCAGCTGAGTCATATCCTAAACACGCGCGCAAATAAATTCATTCAAAGAGACAAGGAAAAGTGAGCAGATAACAAAAACACAAACACAATCCGGGAATGGCAACAAGAGTGCAAACATTTGGTATGTGTGAGAATAATGTACAAGAAGAACGGTATTTATAAGTTGGGTGGTGGGGAGATTACTTACAGCCGGTTTGATGTCTTTAATGTGTTGTGCGGTGGCTGACACTGGACTGGGGTAGTATGGTAACGGTTCAATTTTCGGTGTGACAAGACCAACTGTTGATTTTACCGACGAGAGTGATTTCTCGGACCCAAATTCGGAAGGTTTCGACTCTTGATCCGACAAGTATTCAACATTTGATGTCACCGGCGACGCATGAGCTAACACTTGACAAAGCTGAATAAAGCAACAATACCAGAATGACCGTTATTATTCTTAGCCGTATACGTTTTTTTTTTCGAGCATCTCGGTGCGTTTTGGATTATACTCGATACATAAAGGGATGGTATTTCGGGAAGGTTTTTTGGAAATGGATGTGCAAAGGGAAAACAAACGACACACACACACAGACATAAATCTATATATTTTGTTCTGTTACCTGGGTTAAAGGAGCTGATGGCGATTTAATGCCGTTCTGATCAACAAATTCAATGGATTTAATATTTGATGGAGCCATACCGTTGCCGTTGAGATCCTTGTATACGACGCCACTTTGACTATAATCCAAAGGGTTTGAATTTTGATTACCTTCCATTGAAACGTCTTCGAAACTAGCACGGGAGATATGGAAGAAAATTGTACGCATTTTTTTCTGTTAGTTTAGTTAATATTCGGACGCCTTTTTTTCTCTCTTTCTTATTATTCGTTTTTATGCTTTTGGTTTTATTGTAAAACATTCAATGTGTGTATGGACACATCGATATACACACAACATACACATACCCTGGCTTATCGGAAATTGTGCTTTTGGCTATGGCATTAGTGGCTGAATCAAGACGTGGGCAGATTTCGGTTTCAATTTCGGCAATGCATTGATCCAAATGCCGTAAAAGACGAGTTTTGCAACCGTTATCCGCTAGGCTGGGGACCGACGGTAATGGTGGTGGCTCAGGCGTTGACAAATACCGAGCTACCTCTCTGGAACAATCAGCATAACCGGCCTTATATTTGTCGGTCGCTATAAATGTCGAACAAAACAGAAGAAGAAGAAGAAAACATAACATTCAATTGAACTCTGTGTCGCATCAAATGATCGCATCCAAAATCATACCCTCATTGTCAATGTGACGGTGTTTTTGGAAATGGCGCACCGTTAACTCTAATATATCGGCTTTTTCGAGTTTAGTGTGCTTCGGTTGTTGTACATCGCCCGTTTTGCTGCTATTGTTTGCTTTGGTCGATTCCAAAATAAGCGCCTTCAAAATGGCCAAACTTTGGTTGATACGTGCCCGTCGACGTTTTTCCATCAATGGCTTATTTGTACGTTTTGTTGTTGAATTTGTGCTAATTTCTAATGCGTTTCCAGCTGGCGATGGAGCCGACGATGATGGTGACGGTGGAGACACAGTATTCACGGAGTTTGAATTGTTTGTTGTTGAATTCGAATTTTGATCTAAATTTTAGTTTCGATTCAAAATGAGAAAAGAAAGTGCAAAAAATGTGCTGGTTCAATCAAAAGTCTCCCCAGTTTTTCATTCAAGGAATTTGGAAAATTTGAAACAAAAAACAACAGCCAAACAATATTTTCTATAACGGAAATGAGGCGTGTCACAAAACAAACCCACTGTGCAAATTACCTGTTGCAGATGCTTTATTCTTAGCTGATTCTCTATCTTTTTTTGTTGTCATCTTTCATTTTCAGAACGAAAATTAAACAAAATAATGGCAAACGCACCACACAGAAAAAAGAACACCTATTGTAACAAATAAATTCAACTAATTAAACACTACGCATATAACATTGATCTAATTCGCAAAACGCTATTTTGATCAATTTGGATCGTTGGCCTTTTTTTATTTTCTCCTTCAGGGTAGGAAGTACGATTTGCGCTAAATATCACTTATTTGATGAAAAAAAACATGGAATTTATAATTTAACGGCTGGCCAATCGATTTTCTGGTTAAAAATATTTCCACCACTTAGCAGATCGGACTTCTTTTGTCTCGAATGTATTTTGAATCGAATCAAATTGATCACTAATGGACTGCCCAAAGTTTTCACTATGCACAATGAATGTTTTAGCACTGTTGCTTTTATTGCTGCTGCTGCTGCTGCTGCTTATTTACAAAAGTTTCATTGCTTTTATTCATTTGAATTAATCACTTCTGTTCAGCTAGCCGAACGAGCGCGCGACATCCACTTGGGTATGAATGAATGAATGAGTGAGTGTGGCGAAAAAAGACCGTCAACCATTTTAGTTAATAAATTTTCAGCAAATTATTCATATTTTATTTTCACTGGCGACTGACTGCAGTTTTTTTTGTTCTGTTCTTTCGGCTTTTCCGTAAAACTTTAACTGGTGTGCTTCGGTTTGCGTGTTAAATAAATGGATAATCATTTAGCAAAAGTGCACAGTCGACAAACAAACTCTGGCTCGCACTCTCTCTCTCTCTCTCTCTCTCTCTCTCTCTCACTGGCGCGCTGTGCCAAAGCAAACAAATGAAACAGTAAATTTATTCGGTACGCATTTTATTATTCCGTAATGAATGATTGTCGCACTTCATGTGGTCACCGCATAATATGTTCGCATTTAAAAACACACACACACACAGTTTCTTTTCAGTCGATGATTGTTGTGTGTAATCGGGAATGGAAACAAAAAATTTGAAAACTCTATAGTCTTCACTTGAGCACAATCGCCAACAACCCGAAACCACGACCGGTTAAACTGTTTCCACAATAACTAATTTTACTTCCTTTGTAAAATCCGACACCGAATTCCAAGTATCTTAAAATCTTGATTTCCCCGTCACGAATCAAACAAAAACCGACGAACGACTAGGAAAAACGGAACGAAATATTTCGTTCGAATGTGAAAACTGAAAATCGCAATTCCACTCTATGCTATTGCACCACTTGCCTCAAAGCATGTCAGTACACTCCGACATCGTTCGCACGACTGATGATGGAAAATCGCCTAACATACCATATGCGCTTGAAAATGTACACACAGAACACACCAAACACTCTCAGAGAGGGAGAGAGAGAGAGAGAGAGAGAGAGAGAGAGAGAGAGAGAGGGCAAGGAGAGAGGAGAGTGAGCTCGACTCGACTCGACTCGACACAGCACACGACAGAACGACAGCAGACTCTCTACCTCTAGTCCTCACACCACTCGCACTTGGCTCGCTCGCTCGTTCGTTCGTGTTCTCTGGCACGAGTCAACAATTTCCAAATGAACGGTGGATGGGAAAGATGCGAATGGTCTTGCTTTTGGCCAAATAAAAAAAACGAGGCAAAACCAAAGTATACATGCATATTTATCTGCAAACTCATAGCGCGCCCGAGACACACACGAAAAGAGAGAGAGAGAGAGAGAGAAAGAGCATTGGGAAAACTGTACACACCGAGGAACGACCGAACACAGGCGCGCACACTAAAACGATCCGACTAAAGCGGAAAAACGAAAGAAAAAAAAACATAACAACAACAATGACGATGACGACAACGACAAAGTCGACGGGCGAAGAGACGGGAGAACAACTAAAGAAAATAAACGAACGACATCGACGACGACGACGACGACGACGACGACAACGACAAGCAGCAGAGGCAGCAAACTGAACGCGCTTCGGGTTATATATATGCTTATACATGTGCAGTGCAGTCGTATCGAAGCAATTTTATACTCATAGCTTTTGCCAACCGAGAGACCAAAAGTACTTATACCGTATTAGAGCCAACACGTTTTTTTTCTGTTCGTTCGTTCATTTGCCACACGCTCTCCCGCTCTCATTCCCTTTGCCATCACTCACCCTTCGTGTGTATGTATACGAGTGTTTGTGTGTTGAATGTGCTGCTTTATGCAATATAGATGGATCTATTTTGGAGCGTGTGGCTCTATACAGATATCGTGTCTCGCATATTTTTTTATGCTTTTGCCATCCATCCATTCCGCTCACCCTCGCTCCCCATCCCACTCGGAGAGCGAATGTGCGCGCTCTGTGTGTTTGGTGGTAGAATTATATTACACGAAACGTATGAACGAGCAATTCCAGAGCAGAGTTGCTGTTTTTGTAGCATTAGAGCAAAAAGGCAGCAAGCGCACATAATCACTTGCTACTAGTGACGTTGTGTGTATCGTAAAAATGGCAAAAGAGTATGGCATGCCATTGTATTTTATAGTGTGTACGATGTACCCGACACACACAGTACAATCATACCACTTTGCTCGGTGTGTGTATATATATCACTGGGCATTATTATACGTTGTGCGTGTAGGGTGGAACGATTGCAAGGAAAGCGCACACACGCCGGATCAATCTCAAATAACAAGGTGAATTCATGCGGACAGCAGTCTCAAATTATTTACATATTCTACGCTGCTCCTGTTGTTTTTTGTTCGCAACTCTCTTCATTCAATCTTCGCAACAATTTCATAGTCTTCTCGCATAGCTCATTGATCCAAAAATAAATCACAAACACTAGATACATTTGTGATGATGGCATGTCGTTTTTTCGTTTGAATTATTTCATTCGCAGACTTGATATTTTGAGAGTCATTTTTTTTCTATTTTGAGAAGAAAAAAGGTTTTTTCAGTTTGAAAAAAGTTTATTTTTGGTGGTTTGAAAAAGTGGGGAAAAAAATGTTCTCATCAAATATCAATCAATCCTACCACCAATCGAGGTAGCGAAACAACGCAGAACAGCAATAATTTGGTATTGGCAAAAAAAGCGAGCATCGAATACTCGTCACCATTTGAGCGAACCATTGAAAACCTCCACACAACACAACACAGTAGAGTACACAGCAATTCGCGAGCAAGCGAGCGAGTGAGTGAGCGGGCGCTCGACTATAGAAATCGTCGTCGTCGCCGGCGCGAACGAAGGATGATGATGATGATAGCAAACGGTTTCTTTTCTGACACATTGTGGGGGAGTTGGAGTTTTCCATTTGAATGATTTGGCGATAAAAAAGAAAGACGGGAAAGAGAAATGTGAACGGGCGAGCGAGCAGGCAAGCGAATGAAAGCAAACGGACGATTCGAGCCAAAAAACGAAAACAAACATTACACAAAGGTTCGAATAAGAAAACAAATCGAGAAAAGCTGACAGATGATGTGCTGCTACTGCTGCTGTTACATGGCTATAGCATGTGAGGGTTAAAAGCATCGGTAATTCCTTCGTGCAAACAAACAAAAACGAGAGAGAGAGAGAGAGCAGAAAAAACCCAAGAGCACAGAGTGTGAGAGAGGGTGTAAGAGCGTATGAATGGAGAATTGCCGTGGGATGAGAATGGCAATGGAAAAAGCAGCACGAGTCAAGTTATCATCGTCATCGCTCGACACCCTCGCTTGGGTCTTCGCATAATCGTTTTCTTTTTGCTTGGTCGTTTACTTCATTTTCTTCGTCGTCGTCTTTTTTTCTTCTTCTTCGTTTTTCTTTTGTTTTCTTTTCTTTACTCGTCGGAATTTTCGCTCGCTTCTTCTGCCAAAACGCTTCGTCTTAAATAGATTTCTGGGTATATACTACACGCCACTGTGTTATGGCAGCAGCAACAATTTTGAGGTACTTTCTCACGCCTCGCGCCACCCGACTGTGCTCGGTGTATTTGTGTTCGTTCGTTCCATGGTTCGGTTCCGTCAGACTAATGGGTAAAGCAGTAGATCGTTAAAATTTGGAGTGCGTGTGCTCGTTCAGCCGTATTTAACTTTGCTCTGCACAAAAAGACTTTGACTTTAATGTCTGCATTATGATTATCGACGTTACGAACGCTTTTGTTCGCGCTCGTTTGCTGGTTGGAAGCAAAAGCGGGCGGGCGTGTGCGTGCGCGCACGGGAACAAGCGAACGAGCAAACGATTTCACCGAAACACTAACTCGGTATATTGTGCCACACTTTTTGTGTTGATGATTCTGCATCTCGCGAGCGTCTTTCGGAAATTTGTCGCTATAGGAAAACGGATGGGATCTACATGAGTGACAAAGACATTTAAGACATTTATCGCGCCGGCAACATTTTGACGACAGCGCGGCAATGTTTTTGTGGCCGATACCGGAATGGGAACAGATACGTCATCATTGCCATAAGTTCAAGTCGGCGATTTACAATGCGTACACGCGAAGCCGGAGACATCAAGGGAGATGGGAAAGAGAGAGAGAGAATTTATTGGCCGATTTAGTTTCGATTGCACAGCATTAGCAAATGGTGAATGTGTTCGCATTACATCGTTTTTCTTCGGTGGAGCCAATAGTCGATCACAACCTCCCCCTTTTTCTCCCTATTTTTCGTCACCACCACCACCATCGCCATCGCCATCGCCATCGCCATCAGCATTCAGTGGAATGTCGAATGCACAAAATCACTCAGTGCGAATACGAATACGAATACGAACGCTCATTCGCCAATTCAAGCATTATCATTGTTTTCATACATGCCAGGCTTTTTCTCGTTTCACATGTTCAGTTCATGCAATATGCAACGTCTGACTGAAGCACCGATTTGATTTGATGCTGTCGCGTGCACTTTTTTCTCACTCACTCTCACTCACTTGCTACTTTATTTACGCCCAAAGCTCGTCAGCATGCAACAAAAATCTACACGTACGTGTGAACAAAATAACATCTGTGTTGTTCATATGCTGGCACGTACATAAAGGAAAAACTTAACATGAGAAACTTTGGCCCAAACCAAAAACATTGAGTACATACACGAACGCCTGTGTGCTGTGTGCACACTGCACAACTCTGCTGCAGTTTTTGTTCATCGTTGTCGTTGCTGTTGTTGTTTTTGTTGCTCATTGTCGGTTGTTATTGTTGGTGTGGTACCAATGCTACTGTCGACTCAACGATATTTTCCCGTACTCAACTCTCGTTCTCTTCCTCTCGTTTCACAAACTCAACTTTATACGCATAACACTCCATGAGTTTTGAGCATATATACCCAAATTGCTCGAACAAAACAATAATATGTTTATGAATATGTATCTGCCTGCACACGGGCTGTCAGACGTGAGCAAAAACACACCACCGAGACTCCACACATATCGAAATAACGAAGCAACCAGGGCAGAATGTGTGTGCGGCACATGAACGACTGAACCGTTCTCAAGTGAAATGAAAACAAAAGCACAACAAGCAAAAGCAAACGCAAAAACAAAAAGCATAGAGAAAATAAAACATTTGCACTGTGTACTGTACTCTCTGTATGGTATGGCATGGCATGTTGTGCTCTCCGTTTCTCACACTCCTCTTTCTCGCACGCTCGCTCTCTCTCTCTCTCTCTCTCTCTCTCTCTCATCGCTCGGTATTGCAAAACAACGGCCGCATTTTTATTTTTTCCAATGTGAGAAATTCCACATCCACATCGTATATATAGACGAATGAAATTGCTGCCGCACCTCGCATATCACCTCTTACCATTTGTCATTTCTGCTCGTATTTATACATACATAAATTTTTTTGTGCTTTCTTTCTTTTCATTTTTTTTTTTAGTTTCTTCTTTCATTTTTGCTGGTCTCTGTTGGCTGTTATTTTTTTCCCTAAGCATTTACTTTTGCTTTGCTTTTTGTGATGTCGCTTGTTCGCTTCATTCTCTTTTTTTTTTTTTTTTTTTTCTCTTTCACTTGGTGATTTCCTCCATAGAATATCGATATGGTACGATATGCGGGCGATGTTGTTGTTGTTCATCGTCGTCGTCGGTTCTGTAATCATTCAATGCTTGGCGTCGATGTCGTCTTCCTCTCGTCTCTTTTGATCGAAGTTTTTTTTTCTTCTTTCTTTATGGCGCTTCGCATTTCAAAGTTTTTTCACACGTTTCGCAAAACCATCGCAGCAACACGACAGCAAAATGAAGAAAACACCAATATTGTATGTGGAAACGGAAATGAACGACGAGAAAAAGGAAGAGAGAAAGCAACGACAAAAAAAATAGAAGGAGTCCAAGCCATCGCAATGGAAAACAC